GGGTGGCTTACCCTTGATTTGGGTAAGTGTAGTTCGGGAGTGTAGGTTGTTTGAAGTGATTCTGAGAATGATAACCAGGTTGGATGATTTTTTTTGAACTGTTCCACAAACCAGAATCCCCTATGTTCTGAAAGTTTGCTTTATTTGTAGGCATCGAATATTGCCTTAACAAATCAACTAGATTGTCTGATTCTACCGTTGGTTGTCGGACATCATGCAGTTCCAGATGTTCTGGAATTTCATCCAATCCAAGATCATCCCTTCTGGGCGGCGGATCTTGAACAACAACGTGTGGAAGAATTTGGTTTATGATACACTGCAATCCCGAAACCGTATCAACTTCCTGATTCGTTTTCTTTAGATCAGCAGCAATCTTCGTAATAACAGTTATCTCGCTGCTCAGGCCGGAGAGAGCTTACTCGTATATCGCTACGAGACTCATTCAGCGAGATTTGGTCCTGTACGCTTCTAATCTCCGCCCTTATATCTCGTAAGACATTCAAAAGTTCTTCTCGTACGGCTTTGTCACTTGGATTTTCAACAACTTGTTGTCCATCTTGGTTCTGTGGTGTGATTTCCGGATCCGGATTTTGATCCACCAAATCATCATCGCCAACTCCGTCCTCTTCCTCCTCGTTGGTCGGCGGAGTAGGGGCAGGACTGTCCCCGAAGTGATAGTCCCACAAAGCGATCACTTCCTGTAAACATTTCCTAGTGACCGAAAACTCCTCCCCTACGACATATTTTTCCAAGAGTTCTAGCCGGACTCCCAAATGAAGTAACCTGCTCCGAAATATCTCCTTATTTGGACACCTATACTGTAAATCTTCCCTCATGGACTCAAACTTCCCACGACACGTCCCGAATTCGACTTGAGCATCCCCTTTGAACGATCGAACAGCATTCGTAGCTTGCACTATCTCGCTGTTCAGCAATCCCCTCAAACGACGACGTCTTTGTGATCCCGATTTATCCGACTCAGGAAGGATGACAACACCACGGGAGTTTAATTCAAAGTCAACCTCGTCGGGATGCAAATGATCAACGCGTAGATGCAGATACGCCTCATTGAACTCCGTCAACGTCAACGGTCTGGGCGTCATGTTCAAAAATGAGTGGATCACAGATTCAAAATATGGAGATAAATTAAAACCTGCCAACTGTGGAGTGGAGTATGAATACGGTAAGGACCCTTTTTCATTTACTGACGATTCCCTATGATTTTAGGTCACCAAATGTTGCGAATGTCAACCCAAATCGGCTCAGAGGATTTGAAAACCCCGCTCTGAGAACAAAGTGCTCCGAGATGACGACAACTCGTTCTGCAGACGATGAAATGAAGCGATTCACCGATTAGGAATAAGAAAAACACAACAAATAATATTAAACGAACCGCGCCTATTGTGGAAAAAGCCTCCCCACTGTTTATTCCACACAAAATCCAAACTTTTTTGGAAGTACCCCACGCTCGGAAGAAAAAATATTCCTTAATAATATTTTTTCCTTGTGTATGTTAACGTTGGGCGCCAATTGTAAGTTGCGGCTTACTTGCCAGCCTATAGCTGGCCCGATTTACCCCGGCGGGGCGGCTACGAGCAGAGTACTTCCCCCAAAGACGTTCGGATTTGGATGGATTGATAAGAAAAGAAAAAGAAAAATACAATTTAAGACGTCTATTAGCCTCTAACCTTTCCCTTTTCTCCTCGTTGTCCTCGGTGTCACTCGTTGGGGCCCTTCGACGATAGCGGCGGCGGTTGCAGATCGTACTGCTTCACGTTAGCTGCGTAGCAGCGGTCCTTGGCGTTTTGCGGGGGGGGGGGATGAGCAAGGCTCCTTTATCGGAACCCCCTCGGCGACGATGGTGACGAATCACTGGACCAACTACTCGCCGTAGATGGTCCCGGTAGTCACCGCAGTGCACTACCCAGGCGAACGCTCCTTCGGTTCGGCCTGCTTCGTCCCTCCTTGGCTCTTAACTGCGGTGGCGAGACTGGCTCTACTGGCTGAGCCACCGCAGTGAGGGCAGTGGGTGTTCGGGGATCCTTGGGGTTTGGCCGGGAAGCGGAAAAATCCTTGAAATTTAGCTTCCCTTGGCGGCGATCCGACACCCTTCACTTCAGCTCACGAACCACGGCACTTTTCAGGGAAACGACGTCATTTCCACGCGACGGTGCTGGGAATTATTCCTCCAGCGGACACACGCCACGAAAACGGCACTCCAACCTCTCGTTTTCACTACAAACGGACGGGGCAAAAAACGTGTCGATTTCCTACCGTGGCTCGTAACTTTCTCTCCTGTACTAGCTGACAATCACTGACAATACAACAACCGCCATCGTTCTCCTGCAACCGCGCTCGAATGTTGTGCTGGTTATGTTTTTCGCCTTATTTTGCAGCGGGAGGAGAAACGGGACCTAACTTTATTCTACACGCGAGACAATTTTAAACGATAATTTTTACACTATATTCTAATCTTAAAAACATGCCTACACGAATAAAATCTACTATAAAAGTAACAAATTAAAATATTTACAAATAAAGCAGTGGTGAGTATGTTGCCGAGCGTGCGACCAAAACAAAAACACGTTAAAAAGGTGGGTTATTAATTTTCACCCTAGACGAGAGTTACAAGCTTGGGACCAAAGAGAGTACTAGAGCTGAGCCAAAAAGTAGAGTACGTTTCTTCGGGACCTTCTGGTCTTAGAGTTTCCTCTATGGTATAGAGGTCCTTAGGTTAACCGGAGGATCATGTACGTTCGCGCTGGCAGGCAGTTTTCAGTTCCTTTTTAAATAAAATAGCTTCAGTTTTCTACACTTTATCTTGCGAACTTCCATCTAATAGCGAATTCGTTTATTATTCAGTTCCAACCTAGATCGAGTATCAAGATTGGGTCTGTTTGTTTTCTGACAAACGTCAGTTTGATCGTTTGTTTTTAAACCTACCTCAGGTTGAGGTTCACACTGACAAAAAGTTCGGTTTCGCACCGGGTTGGAGCTGGTTCGGAACGGTTATTGTTTTTTAATGTTTCATGCGTTGTCATGCAAACAAGGTCTTCAAGGAAAGATTTTGGTTCAGTGCCGAAGTTATAAAGCAGCTGTCAGTGGCGGTTGTCAATTTCGGTGGTCAAATATGACGCCAAATGCTAATTTTTCTCTGAATTGGCAATATGTGTCCAGATTTTGTCGCGAACAAGCCTTACGAAACTTTGTAGAAAATAAAAATTTTCTATGTCCAATAGTTCATGACAGATATGGACCGTTTTCTAATGTAATGTTTTTACTTTTTATATAGCAACTGTTAAAGCTAATAACGTTTTAGACAAATGTAAACAAAGTGAAACTAAATGTTTTTGATGATGGCTATGTGCATTACTTGCAAAGCTATAGCAACTTTTAACTTTATTATCCCTTATTTTGACTGCATATAGGGGAGAAGGTGGCAAACCGGAACACAATATCAATATAATGTTTTTTAGTTTCTATGTTATGCATCTCGTGAAGATTTTATACAAAAATATGAATTCAGGAAAACTTGTTCGTACGCTACAGTCCATTGCCAGAACTTCCATTACATGTGTTCTTTGAAACATATGAAGAGGATGTAATAAATCCAACCTTATATAGGATGTAAGAGAAATTTGTTTTGCGCAATAATTACTTAAAATGCTAAATAACATTAATTTTAAAAATAACAAAACAACGATTTATCAACCAAACGACAAGGTAAGATATGTGGTTAAATAACTCCTCCGAGGTTCATTTGGTGTGCTAAAGTGGCAGCCTAAACGAAGCATATTCATACTACAAGGTAATCACTTCTCCCATGATCGACAAGCCAGCGCCATAACGGTCATCTTTGTCGAGCCGAGTAGACTAATAAACATCTCCAAATCATCGTCCAACCAGCACCACCAGTAGGCTCCTTCAGTAAACGGTAGAGTGCCAACATTAGCCACCTTTAGCTGCCCTGTGGCCATTGTTTTCGTTGAAGTTGCTGTTTTTTATTGTGGCTGGAGCATCATTATTGACATGCCATGCCACGCTGTGCTGCACTGACAGGGGTGCCTTTATGTGCCGCTCCCCCATACCTACTTGCTTGTAAAGACCGACGGTACCGATTGTATTCAAATCGAAAGAAGTGCCGCTGTTGGGATGTTTCGCATCATCACTTATCAACTGGAAATAAGCTACCCATTCTGTTGCGTAATGGTTTCTGCTTTTTATTTTTTTATTGATGCTTTCTGACATTGTAGGTACCTAGGCTATGGTAATGTGGCTAGTTGAGGTGTTGAGCAAAAAAAAAAGATTGATCAGCGCCAGTTCAATAAACGCGTCAATGTGGGTTAACAGTTAACAGCCGCTAATCAGACAAATTCATGGTTCCTTTTGTTTGATAGTTAGATTAATTACACCATTTTTTCTGTTTCATATCTTGAATTTCCTCTTAAATTTGACAGATGGAAAATTATCATATAAACCTGCTATTGTACCAGACTTATTTCTGACAGACCAGTGACGAACGCCTTCTCGAAAATCGGACGATCAACAACAGTGGGATTTTCGATTTCGAAGTGTCAAATTCACCAAATGGAACACCAGCCTTAATCCATTCGAATGATACCGCAGTAGGCGGTTTGATTGCTATTTTCTTACACTCGTACGCATTAAGCGAAGCCTACTGCGCTATCTAACTCGTTTCGATCTCGTTTCCTCATCATCACCCCTGCAACGATGGATGCAATCTGAATCGCTCATGCTTCGTTTCGGAAAAGTCGGAACTGTACTCAAACTTTGTCTACATTTAAATAAGCAAAACAGTCGCATTTGCATACACCATACTGCATGATTAAGAGGCACAAGATCAACTGCAGATTGGTCGTGTGAATTTCATATGCTAATTATAGACACACTTCCCATAACGAAAGTCAAGAATTGACACAGAAACCACAGACAAACGGATGCTAAACTCTTACCTTTCCCTTCCATTCCTCTCATTTCAGATGAAACTTGTTTGCATTTTTGCGCTGCTGCTGGCGCTGGTTGCGAGTAGCTCCAGTTCAAGCAACGAATCCCAAGACGGCGATGCCGATGTGAAACGGATACGGATAGATCCGGCACTGCGAAAAGCACTGCTTCGGGCGTTGCGGCACCTCAAGGAACGCCAGGAGGAGGAAAGCGAACAGCTGAACGACTCCAACACCACTGAGGAAAACTTTGCCACCACAATCCTGGACGAGATCCTCGAGGAGAGCACAACCCGTGACCGGAATACCGACATCAAGTATCACACGTTTTCGGCCGATTCCGACAGTTCGTCGAACGGTGAGAATGAGATCATTAAGACGATCATCATCACCAAGCCCCGGACGACGCTGACTCCTCCGAAGGAAGACTTGCTGACCGTACCGGATCCGATCAAGGAACGCGAGAACGACGTGGACTCGAACCAAGTAGCTCGTAGCGTTTCTTCGGGATCAACTAATCAGCTCCAGGAAGATGCCAAGGGTGTGAAGGTCTCAGTTGTAACGGCTGTGCCAAGCATCAGTTCGACTTCACAAGTCACGCCGGCAGTTACTACCACAGTGAGGCCACCGACCACGACAATCAAGCTTCCGACCCACAATTCCGACGGTGAAAACATCGAACGAGTCAAAAGCGAAGACGTCAAAATCTACCAGGCACCGCTGGTGGCTGCCTTTACTGTGCAGCAAGATCAACTAGGAATTCCACGGAATGTGATTCCTCTGCTTCAGGGGCCACCCACGAAAAATCCTGTCGAATTTCGACCTTCCACTCCGGTGGCACCTACGTCGAGTTCTGCAGCACAGGTTCCTTCGGCACCTAACCAAACTATGTCCGCTGCCACCGTTGCACCGATTCCTCTTCACACCCAGGCACTCGAAGAGAAGACTCGCTTCTTGGAACAGCAGCTAATCACTCTTCAGACCCAGCAACGCATCCAGGAGCAGTTGCTCCGCTCGAAGATCCTCCAAGAACAACAGGTCATCCTTCAACAGCAGCAGCAACTGCAACAGCAACGGGTCCGGCTCGAGGAGGAAACCCGTGTCCGTTTGCAAAAGTTCGAAGAAGAACAGCGCCTTTTCCGTCAACAGCAGCAACAATTCCAACAGCAACAGCAGCAGCTGAAATTTCAACAACACCATCAGCAACACCAACAACAGCAGCAGCAGCAACAACAACAACAACAGCCGCAGCAACAACAGCAAAAACAACAACAGCAACAGCAGCAACACCAACAACAACAGCAGCAACACCAACAACAACAGCAGCAACAACAACAACAACAACAACAACAACAACAACAACAACAACAGCAGCAGCAGCAGCAGCAACAGCTCTTCAAGCCATTCCCAAATCAGCAACTACCAAACAATCTACCACCACCACAATTCCAACAACTGCAGCTACAGCAGCAACAACTACAGCAGCAACAACTACAGCAGCAGCAACTACAGCAGCAGCAACTACAGCAACAGCAACTACAGCAACAGCAACTACAGCAGAAGCCAGTGCTACTGCCACAATCGCAACAGCTCCAATTCTTCCAGGAACTGCCTCGCAACACTCCGGCCATCCAGTTCATTCCAAGTGTGTCCCTGCCCACCAAAGCACTCCCGATCTCGGTGGAACTACAGCTTCCGTTCAAGGAACCCGTTAACTTCCAGCCGAATTATCCTAGGAATCCCGATGTTGAGCAGATCAAATCCATCAGTCCTCCGCTCCAACAGTTCCCAATCATTCCTCCCTCTCCACCGCAACTATCCAAACAACAGCTACTTCCTCTGAAACCCTTCCAGTCGTTCAACGTCAACCCAGGGCTGGCGCCTCTATCCGTCCAACAACAGGTTCCTTTCGATCAGCAAATCTCTCACCTCCAGCGCAACCGTGTCTTCCGCCACGACACCGGTACCGGCAACTTCGGTTTCAACCAGCAATCCAACGTCCCATTCCGTCCATCGCAACCGATTCCGATCGTCCAGCAGACCGGTGGCTTCCAACCGCTCCGCAACGACAATCAGCTCCAGAACCTCCTGGTCCAGTCTGGTATCACGTCCCGTTCGGCGGAAGATTTCAACATCATCACCAAGGTGCTGGCCTTGAATCACGGTATCCCACAGTCCTCGTCCCAACAAATGTTCGCCAAGCTTAGCCCCGAACAACAGCAGCAGCTGCTGTTCCGGAAGAAGTAAGTCTGCTACTTCCACTGCTAACCTGTGTTTCCGATCTTCCACCCTTCCCCGGAATCCCACATTCCACCACCTGTAATAACACGCATGGGTGCGAGTTCCGAAAGCGGAGCATGAGTGAAATGCGCGAGTGAGTGTGAGAGTCGCTAGTGACCTAGTCTGCCATATTTATTGTGTGAGTGAGTGAAAGCGCGTTTCTTAGCACACACACACATCCACCCACACAGTCTCCCACCAACAGCCTACCATATACGTCACAGCACCAGTTTCTCTGTTTAACCGCCTGTCCCTCCTTAATACCTAGGTTTAAAGTTCTCCTCAATTTCAACGTCCATATTTTACGTTTAATCTCCATAATCGAGTTTAAGAGTAGCCACCCCCAAGTAAGTTATTTTCTAAAGACAGAGAGGAAGATTAACGTGAGCGGTCAGTGTAATTTCCGAAAGAAATTTGATCAAAACAAACAAAATAGCAGCGGAGTTTAGTGACAGGACTATAGAGGTAACCCTGCCCTTGGCAATCTAACAAAGCAAATTAACACAAATCATACGGATAGCCTGATGAGTTGTGGAGCGACGATGGAATCGTGAATAATTCGCGATTTTTCACGGCGTCGCACCGTGCAGCGAGGTGTACTAATAATAATTTATCGGAAATAAATGTCACATTTTTTTTTAAATACATATTCCAGACGGGAAGTTGCTTGATCCGAACTATCCTTCCAAAACCAGACGATTGTCACCATAGGGATGTCCAATTTCCCCAAATATTTGTTTTTGCTTGGAATAAAATTTCGACAATTTTGCTTCTGAACAGTAGACAACTTTTAATTGAAATGGCATATCAGCCATTTTGTTTTTGACGAAACCGACAGTAGAGTCAGGGCAACGAAGTGGAATATCAGCGGACGGATTCGGACCTGTTGTGGAAATAATGGAACTCGCGAGAAATCACTTTAACTACGTTTATTGATCGAGCGCAAAATACAATGCAACCGAACGCGGTAGCAGTTACTTTTGGAATGATAATGATGTTCGTTGCCTTCTCTCTCGTACCCAGAGTGGGCCAAGATATATAGAGAGGAGTAGAGGTGGGTTGAAGTGGTAACTGTTGTATCGTTCCACACTCCTCCTCAACGCTTTGCCACTTCACAGTTCCTTCTCTATTCCTAGCAGCTCGGTGAAGCGTCGGTGCTTCTCCGGACCTAGAGGCTTCGTCATAACGTCGGCGATCATCGACTCCGTGGGACAATACTCCAAAACGATGTCCCCTTTCTCACACAACTCCTGGATAAACTTTTCCTTTGTGCAGATATGTTTCGATCGTCGGCTTGTTCGCTCCGTTTTGACAAACGCCAGACAACCTTGATTGTCTTCCTTTAACACTGCTGGTGCTCCTTGTGGTTCGCCAAAATCGTTTAGCAGCTTTTGCAACCACACTGTTTCCTGACAGGCCTCCGAGAGGGCAACATACTCCGCCTCCATTGTCGATAGTGTAACGCACTGCTGGCGGCGGCTAGTCCAAGATATTAAGCCACCACGATAGTAGAAGACTGAACCTGATGTTGACCTTCGGCTGGCGGGGTCGCCCGCCCAATCGGCTTCACTATTTCCGCCCAAACGCAGATAGGAATCCTTCGTAGCCTTCAAATATCTCAACACACGTTTGGCGGCGGTCCAATCCTAGAAAAACTTCTTCCGAGAATCGCCGTGGATACGGCAATGTCCGGTCGGGCAATCACCGACAAGTACAATAATCCACCGACTAGGCTCCTGTACTTGGTCGCGTCTTCAAAATGTCCACACTTCTCTTCCACTTTTAGGAACCCTGGATCCATCGGGCACCTAACGGTTTTAGCTTCTTCCATTCCGTTCTTCGCAATCAACTGTTCGATATAGTTCTTCAGTCGGATTTGGTAACAATCATCTCTCTTTAACACTTCTAGTCCCAAAAAATGGTGAACTTCGCCAAGATCAGTCAATTCAAACTCTTTACACAAACTGTTTATAATCTTCTTCACTTCTTCTTCGGATGGTCCAGCCAGCAACATATCGTCCAGGTAGACGAGCAAGAACAATTTCTTCCCATTGACCGTTTTCACATACAAACACTGATCTGCAGCGGCCGAACTGAACCCAAGCTTCGTGAGGACACTCTTCAACTTCGCGTTCCAGCATCTGGCCGACTGGCGAAGGCCATAAATGCTCCGCCTTAGGCGGCACACCAGCTCCTCCTGTCCGCGGGCTACGGTACCGGGCGGCTGCCGCATAAAGATCTCCTCTTCAAATACGCCATTGAGGTAGGCGGTCTTGACATCAACATGCCTGACCACCAGCTTCTGGCTCGCAGCAACAGTGAGAAACATTCGCAGGCTGGCTTGACGCGTCACTGGAGCGAAAACTTCATCGAAGTCTACTCCGAACTGCTGGGCTTTGAACTTGACCACCTTGTTCACCTCGTTGCGCTTAACCTTAAAAACCCATTTGGAGCCGACTACTTTCCGTCCTTTAGGCAGTGGCACCAACTCCCAGGTTCCGTTTCGATGGTGACAAACCACTCCTTGCTCTTCATGGCGTCCTTATAGTTTAAGGGCTCCTGCACTGCGCAGGCAGCTATCCCGACGACATATTCGTCAAGACGTGGATTCACACCTTTGTTCGCCCTCTTCGATCTGCGATATTCAATCGACTCAGCGCCTTCGTCTTCGGATGCATCGAAGTACTCCTCCTCGTTGGGATCATCCTCGGCTTCTTCATCGCTGAACTTCTCCTTAAACGGACGCAATACAATCTCGTCCTCAGCTTCCATTTGCTCAACGGATACTGGAAAATCCACCGATGACGTTCCGTTCCCGAGTTCTACAAACCGGGCATCTCGGCTAATGGTGATTGCAGCAGTGTCGGTATCAACGAACCTGTACCCCTTATGATCCATGGAGTACCCCACATAATTGAGCTTTTGTGCTTTCCGGTCGAGTTCCTCACGTCAGGAACGTGTACATACGCTACGCTTCCGAATACTCTCAGTCGTCCCAGATCCGGCTTTCGCCCCCACCACAGCTCAAAGGGAGTCTTCGGCACAGACCTGGATGGCAACCGGTTCTGAAGATACATTGCGGTAAGAACAGCTTCGCCCCAATATCTCTTCGGCAGACCGGAATCAAGGAGCATACAAGTTGCCATTTCCGTTATCGACCTATTCTTTCTTTCGGCAACGCCGTTGGACTGGGGGGAATACGGGGTGGTATACTGGGGAGTTATACCTTCCTGCTTGTAAAAGTTCCGAAGCCGCTTATTATCGAACTCCCCCCCACCATCGGACCGCACAACCTTCGGTTTGCGCCCGAAATTCGTCTCTGCCCAACGCACATAATTAATTATGTTCTGGGTGGCTTCTGACTTGTGCAGCAAACCTACTGTAATCGTCGATTATGTGCATCACATATCTATTTCCGCTAGGGGTGACCGTTTTCATGGGGCCGCAAAGGTCCGTATGTACAATGTCAAGTACACGGATCGACTTCCTTTCGGTTACTTCCGGAAACGGGGCTCTCGAGGCTTTCCCTTCCAAGCAACATTCACAGACTAATTTTAACCCACACTCACTCACCTGCATTCCGGTCGCAAGCTGTTCCTTACCGATCCGCTCTACAGCCGCCCAGTCGCGGTGGCCAAGGCGCCGATACCACTGGTGTTGGCAATTCTCTTTATGCTGCCGTCGCTTGCAACGATGACTCAGCTACTCGAAGATGGTACAGACCACCACAGTGGCGGCACTGCGAACAAAAGTCGGACGAAACCTAAAATGTCAATGAAACTGGCTGAAAATGACATATTATGTTAATTTTTGGGTGCTGAGTTCATTTTTGAAGTCAACAACCAATAAAAATGCAAACTAATCCCCCTAAAGTGCGAAATAATCTTTCGGATCAGAATAAATTTAATGACTGATAATTTATTGAGTTATTTCAACACATGATATTTTTAAGTTCATTTTATCTTGTCATCGAATCCGGTAATAATTTAAATAATCAAATATAGGGGCCGTTTAAACATTACGTAAAGCGAAACATTTCAGTTTCCATAGGGAAGATACACAAATGACGTTGCATATTTTTGATCAATTTTAGGTCCCCCCTCCCCCCTCGTAGCGTATTTTTCCATACCTAATACACGGCTGGTCACAACTTCTGAAACCCTCTCCCCTCTAAAATGCTACGTCATTTGTGGATCGTCCCATACCAAATTAAATGTTTCGCGTTACACGATATTTGGACTTTGTTTCCATATTCAATATAAACTAAAATTTACATTCTTTCAGATGTTTTACTCGGGTATTCAGTATGACACTGAAATATTTCATAAGAAAGTACTGTGCTGCTCTTATGTAAAATGCGGATGTTCCTAGAAGCTTGTTCAAACGTCAACCGAATACCAGAGTAGTTTAAAAAGTTTAAATGTGTTGACTTTGATACTGGAAGTTTCCGGTGAACTTTATCCGGCAGGAATTGAAAAAAAAAAATAGTAAAACAAGCAGTCGTAAAATGTGTTCTAAACCAAAAGGTAATTGATCTTATATTGAAAAAATGTATTATTTACATTTAATGATTGTTTTTTATTAAATTAGAAATGTTCTTAAAAAGAAAAAACATACTGGAAGCGGTCTATGCTATACCGGATTCGGAAGAAAAGCGTACTGCAATTACTAACTACATTGCAACATATGCTGGAAATATTGATGAAGAATGTAAGGAACATATTTCAATCTTCTATCGAGAGTTCTTGCGTCGATGGAACAACGCAAAACGGATGAAGGAACGCTTCTTAAAAGCAAACGCTGAATGGCTCGAAGATTTTCTTGTGCTTTCTGGACCTAGCTCATCAACATCAGAGGAAGGTAGAAATAAAGGTGGTCGTCCTTCAAAGGAGTTTGACGATAACTGCAACCGAGTCAAGCGTCGCAAAACTGAAGATTTGCGGCGAACATGTAGCTCTAGTAGGTTCATTTTACTCCACCATCATTATATTAATATTTGAAGATATCTATTTCATACTTTTCATAGGTGAGTTGCGGTTTGCTACGGAAGTCGTTTTGCGGTCTGAAGGTCAGAGGGACATTGCAAACATTCTGAAGACTGGTGTCACTTCACAAACGTTGTCTGATGAACAAGCATTAGCTATTTTTATCGATGCAAAGTTATCAAAGCGTAGCTATAATATCATGAGAGAACCAGCGAAAAACATCTACCCATCGTATGACAAAATCACTGCCGCTAAAAAGAAGTGTTATCCTTCGAACCAATATTTCAATTCTTCAGAAGTACATTGCGAAATTGAATTGCAAGAGCTTCTGAACCACACTACATCAAGATTAATCAATCTTGTAGAGTCAGACTATATGAATTGGAGTCATAAAGATTTACGTCTTATCCTAAAATGGGGAATGGATGGTACAACTTTAACTGAGTACAATCAAAAATTTGAAAAAAGCTGGTAGCTCAGACGCTAATGTTATCTTGACATCTCTTGTTCCATTGAAATTGGTTGAAGGGGTAAATGTAATTTGGGAAAACTGTTATCCATCGTCAACCCGATACTGTCGACCAGTTTCAATACAATTAGCTAAGGAAACTAGTGACACAACCCGTCAAGAATATGATCGGATGAATACCGAAATCGC